TTTCCTTCCTGTTGACCTTTAACTGATTAGTGCTGACCGTTTCCTTCTTGATGACCTTTAACCTGTCTGCACAAACTTGTCTGAAGAAGTCAAGCCTGCTGGGCCATGGTTATCGGTGTGTGTTTCAACTAGGTATTGCCATCAAGGAGTCGGCCAGTATTGGAGAGCAGGCCCAGAGGAGACTCGTACGGGGCGTAGAGGACCTGGACTTCTACATTGGAGATGAAGCTATAGACAAACCCAACTATGCAACCAAGGTAGGACGATGAGGAATGGGAGTAGAATGAGTGTCTTTTTGGAATAAATGGTAAATGGACTGTACTTATATAGCACCTTTCTATCTTATTTCAAGACACTCAAAGCGCTTTACAACAATCTGTGCCTCATTGACCCATTCATACAGCTCTATACTAGATCTCTACAAAGATAATTGAACAAATCATTCTAAAGAGACTAATCAGAGCTTTTTCACATTCATACACTGATGGGACACACATCAGAGGCTATGAGGGGTTCAGTATCTTGCCCAGGGACACTTCGACATGTGACTGCTGTTGGATTTGAACCCCCAACTCTTGCATTGGAGGACGACTGCTCTAACCACTCAGCCACAGCTGGCTGGACCGAAGAATGTAAAGTAACCATGTTGTTGCTTTGTCGTTCAGTGGCCGATCCGCAACGGGATGGTGGAGGACTGGGATCTGATGGAAAAGTTCATGGAACAGATCATCTTCAAGTACCTGCGGGCTGAACCTGAAGACCACAGCTTCCTCATGGTATGCAGTGTTTGTGTGTTCTCCTCTGGTCTACAGGTGAAGACCAGACACCAGGTACAGGTACCGTTTCTATGGTTATGTTTGGTTTAAACACACAATAAGTTCTGGAGCAGAAAAGACTGAACTAAGACTGAAACATTTCACCGGTCCAAGACAGAAATCCTTGGGTAGGTTGCACTGGTCCCTAAGAAGGCTTGAGTAGTCCTTGTAGATGTTTCAGTGTTCTAGAAACAGGTTGGAAGGTACTTCATTAGACATGAGGAGCTGAAAGAGGTTTTCAAATCATTGAAATTTGGCACTTAATTTTCACAAGTTTCCATAATTTCCAGAGTTGGTTGAAGAGCTCAAAATGAGGGGGTTTAGAGTTCCTGATGAAGGTCAAAAGACCATTGGTCAAAATCAAATGTGGTGGTTATAGTTGGTCCAGCATGCGAGCTTAAGTTTTGGATTTCCTTGGGAGGTCTTTCAGGCTCTTAACAGGTTTGATGATTTTCAGAATGCTCTAAGAGGTTCTAGACCTGATTGAGAAGGTCACCATGCTGAACTTTTACAAGGTTTAATACTCGTGGTGTTTGACGTTCTAATAAAACTGTCATGTTTCTGCCCCAGCCTGCCAAGGGGGCCACAGTTAAATTAGAAACCAATATTCAGGTAATGAAATTATGTAATCCACGTTGGATTGTTCAGAGGGGAAGGAAATGATGACGTTACTACGCATGTCTCAACAAAACCTCTCATAGGTACCTGCTCAAGTAACAACTACGACTCGAGCCTCAAGTCAAGTTTCTCCTAGTCAAGAGCCACGTCTGTCTCCTCCTGAACTGTTTAAAGATGAACCTACGCAATGCTGTTACGTTTTAACTCAATATGACATTCAATTTCAGCTTCAGCTATCTTCCTTCCCCTCTGAACGCTCCAAGGTGGCTTACGCCATTTCATTACCTGCATATTGGTTTCTTATGGCCCCCTTGGCAGGCTGGGGCAGAAACGTGACAAAAATTTGAGAACATCTTTCAGGAAGATCTAGAGATCCTTGATGAGCCTCAGGTTAGAGAAGTTCATAATAATGTTATAATGGTCCAAGTTATGGGTTCAGAGGTACCTGACCTGAGGAGGTTTGTAGGTCTTTGAGACAGTCTTAATGAAGGAAGTCATTTCCCTGAGAATTTACTAAATGTATTTAAAGAGTTTCCAGACTGGTTAGATTAGCGATAGGGGTAAGTGTATGGAAACATTAGTCCTTCCTAAGGGTGGAACAGGTTCTTCAGGAAGAAGGCTGATACAGTGTTCTCTGAAGTTTGTGTATTTGTGGTTCCTTGTTGCAGACTAGAGGATGACACGGGAGTGGATTTTCACTCCTGTCCCGTCCCACTCCTGGTAACATGACTCCTGCTCCCAGTCAGAATCACTCCCACTCCTGTACTGCTCCTGTTTTTTTCTTACATTTAGTCTTTAGGAAATACATTGAATTTGATTTAATCTTTTACCCATTCCTTTTTATATTGCTTTGTGTTTAACACATTACAGACTGGAGAATTGCAAGTCTGGTATTCCAGAGTGAAGCTTATTGAAAGAAAACTACAAAATAGTGGCGCCTGTCCAAAGTTTATTTTATTTTATTTTTTGTCCTATTTGTTGGTTCCTGCTCCTGTCTGGTCCTAATAACTTTTCGTCCTGTCCCATTCCAATTCTGTGAGTTATAATAAAGTTGACTCCTGTCCTGCTGGAATCCTGCGGAAATCCCATGACCCGCAGGATTTCTGAAAAAATGTCATCCCCTATTGTAGACAGAACCTCCTCTCAATACACCGGAGAACAGAGAATATCTGGCTGAAATCATGTTCGAGACTTTCAACATACCCGGACTCTACATCGCAGTACAGGTGAGACAGACTAGCATCTCCAGAGACACTCTCAAGTACCCATGAACAGGTATCAGGTCCATCCAGACTCACTGAGTAAATTGTGTCCATCTATTAGGCAGTTCTCGCGTTGGCCGCGTCGTGGACGTCCCGTCAGGTGGGGCAGAGGACTCTGACCGGCATTGTTATAGACAGCGGAGACGGAGTGACTCATGCCATCCCTGTGGTTAGTTCCGCACACATTAATTTACTGGCTGTGCTGGAAGCTGCTCACTGATTGGCTGTCTGTCTCAGGCTGAGGGCTACGTGATTGGCAGCTGTATAAAGCACATCCCAATAGCAGGGCGGGACATCACCTTCTTCATCCAACAACTACTCAGAGACAGAGAGGTGGGGATTCCTCCAGAGCAGTCTCTGGAGACTGCCAAAGCTGTCAAGGTATTGAGTTCCCCATCAGCTCCTCTTCTATACATAGTTCCCGCACACGTGACCAGTATTGCGCAATACTGCATTTCCTCCACCCGTGTTTTTACATTCAATCTTTATTTAAACAGATAAGTCACAATGAGTCTCGAAAACTCATTTACAAGTGAGACCTGTTTGGACAGACAATAAAAAGTGGTGAAAAATAATACATAGGGTTTGGAGACAAAAAAATTCCTAACACGATTTTAACCTCTGATTGAAGGTCAACAGCGTGATAATGAAAAGAAGTCTTGCACACTAGCACATAATGACACCGACATTACGCAGGGGGCGGGGGATGCAATGGCAGTGAGCAGCCAGAGACAACACACAGAGACACTGCAGAGTTCAGATAAAATCACTATCTTCAAATAATTCCCTCTGGAGAGATCTGTGCACACTCGGGGGGTGCCGAGGACGGCCAAGGACAAATCCAGAGTCCTGAAATGATGACAGAATGTTTATTCAGCTGGTCCCCTCTGAAAAGTCCATGAATTCCTCAGTAGGAGGGGAGGGAGGGGCAGAGCTTCAGGTTTACAAAACTTCCAGGCGGGTTGAGATAAGATGGCCTGTCAAGGCCAGTCAGGGAGCCGAATTCAGATAAACATGATTGTTTTGGGGACAGGCAGATATTTAATGACATCTACCTCGAGTCTGTGTTGGTCTACTCGGTTCCGAAACGTCCAAATTACATGGCCACACCAATGGACGGTGCTTGAGAATAATTCCCGAGATCTGATCTATTCTGCCAAAAGCATTTGAGTCTGGGTGCTCGAGGCACAAACCAAGACATCATAAGTCAAGCAGCATGATTGGGTCCAAATTAGCTGCAGACGATTTCCTTGTTTGTTGATAGACCAGGAACCAGCCGAATCCAAAAAGCAGGAACCAGTTATCCATCCATCCATTATCTTTTACCCGCTTCTTCCATTTGGGGTCACGGGGGTCGCCAGTGCCCATGTCCAGCAACCACTGTGCAAGGGGAGGGGTACACCCTGGACAGGTCTCCAGTCCATCACAGAGACACATGGAGACAAATGAGACAAACAACAATTCACTCTCTCATTCACACCTAGAGACAATTCAGAGTTACCAATCAGCCTAACATGCATGTTTTTGATCTGTGGGAGGAAACTGGAGTACCTGGAGAAAACTCACGCATGCATGGAGAGAACATGCAAACTCTACCCAGAAAGGCCCCTGGACTGGGATTTGAACAGGCAACTTTCTCGCTGAGAGGCATCAGCTCTACCAGTTGCGCCACCGTGCTGCCCGGAATCAGTTATCATAAATCAAATTATAAATGCATCCTTAAAATCCACAAATGGCAGTAGAGATAGACACGTCAATTCTTCCAAGACGCTGAGCTATCCAGCTGCGTGCCAACAGGGCAAAACGGCTCACCTAAAGCCTGGCTTCTCTTTGAAGAAATGTTATCAATTGTGTTGAGGGACCAACTGACCAAATCCAAGTCCATAGTTATGATTTGTAAGATTTGTAGAAAAGAGGCTCTAAGCAGTTTTCACAGACAGGTTTTTGTCTTTATGTTGGTGTTTGTGTGTAGGAGCGATACTGTTACATCTGTCCAGACATTGTGAAGGAGTTCACCAAGTACGACTCTGATCCAGGAAAGTGGATCAAACAGTACAAAGGCATCAACGCCGTCAATAAGATGGCCTTCCACATTGATGTGGGTTATGAGCGCTTCCTGGGACCTGAAATCTTCTTCCACCCTGAGGTGATAACACACAGCTTATTTACCCGTTACTCTGTTGATTACAGCTAAAAACCTAAACCCAACATAGAGCGTTGATTAGGTCATTTTGTTTAAATAAAAATATAATGTACCAATCACAGGACCCTGAGGAACCCCACTGCTGTTTTACAGCTTGGGCCTTCTTACAAAGTTTAAAGTTTAAAAGAGATGGTTGTAAAGTTTTAATTATAATTGATATCCTGTAAATGAAAATGGCCTATTTGTGTGTTTTAGTTTGCTAACCCAGACTTCATGCAGCCAATCTCTGATGTGGTCGATGAGGTCATCCAGAGCTGTCCAATTGACGTGAGGAGGCCGCTGTACAAGGTGAGCATTGTCAGTGAAAACAGGTTATTGTCAGACATCTTAGTTTCCCTTAAAACCATCGTTAATCCTGGTGAAAACTGACTGAAAGGAATCTGGTTTCTGGATGTCAGAACATCGTCCTCTCCGGAGGATCTACCATGTTCAGAGACTTCGGGCGGCGGCTGCAGAGGGACCTGAGGAGGGTGGTGGACGCCCGGCTGAGGCTGAGCAAAGAGCTGAGTGGAGGACGGATAACGGTCAGACACCGGAAAAACAGGACGTAATGTTTGTTTCTATAATCAGGACATTGAACCTGATCTGGTTCTGAAACGATTCAGATCTAACCTCCGGTGAACAGATTCCAGTGTCATCATTTATTCAGCAATAAATAATGTTTAATATTCTGTTCCATTTTACTCATTCTGTTGTAGATCAGCTGCTATGTTTGGGTCATGGTTCTGTTGGACTCAGTTTGGTCCAGGCTTCAGCTGTTGGACTCTGGAACCCTTTGGTCTACAGAGTTCTGGTCCACTCAAGTGACTGACAGTAGCCCAGACCATCAGCCTCCACCACCGTGCTGACAGCTGTAGGAGCTGTTGGCTGCAGTGCATTCTGGGTAAACATCTGCCCTCTGCTCTGGTTCTGATCCAGAAGACTTGTGGTTCCTTCAAATGAAACTTTCCAAACCTAAGTGGTGCTGCCATGTTGTTTTTAGAGATAAGAGGCCATGACCTCTGACCTTTGACTGAGGCCTGTAGAGTCTGAGGTGGAGTTCACTACATGGTCTGACCTTCAGGGTGAATAATCTTTCTCTCTGTAGAACAATGGACTCTGAATGACCTTTGACCCTTCTCAGATTGACGGAGAGCAACGGCTGCCTCTCAGTGGTCATTGTTGATGTCTTTCTATCCTGGCATTGTGTTACCACATACCTGTATGGTTCAGGTGGAGGTGGTCCCACGGGTCAGCAGCTCATGGTCCTGAACCTCTGAGATCCAGTTTGTGTTTCTGTTTCATAAACTATGTCTCGGTGGAATCTGTTTGTTCACTTCAGTGGTTTTGGTAAAGACCAGATCAGGTTCATTCGGTCCTGATCTAACCGTTTGTAGAAAACAAACGTAAAGTGGAACTGAGGACGATTTTTATTGATTTATTTAGGGAAGTTTATTTAATTTGAATGTTTTTTTAATTTTTTTTTTTACTTGTCCAGATCAAATATTGATTACAGACATGAACTCCTGGTTACGTCCTGAACTTGTTTGTGTTTTGCAGCCGAAGCCGATAGAGGTTCAGGTCATCACGCATCACATGCAGCGTTACGCCGTCTGGTTCGGAGGCTCCATGTTGGCGTCCACGGTAACGACACACAAACTGACCGCAAACCGTCTGAAATAAAACCTGAACCGGATCAGCTCGGGTTGAAAAACTTCTGTTTGTAAACACTTGGTACAAAAACCTGCACTGATGGAGGTTTCCTCAGGAAGTTGTTGTTGTAAATGCTGAGTGTTTGTTTGTTATTATTGTTATTGTTGGTAACGTGTTTGTTGTTTGTTCCTATTCCTATTGTTCATGTTGTTAACACAGTGTTGTTTGTTCTTATTGTTGTTGTTGTTGTTGTTAACACAGTGTTTGTTGTTTGTTCCTATTGCTGTTAGGGTTATTGTTGTTAATGCTGAGTTTTTGTTTGTTCCTACTGTTGTTGTTGTTAACATGGTGTTTGTTGTCTGTTCCTATTGTTGTTGTTGTTGTTAACACAGTGTTTGTTGTTTGTTCCCATTGTTGTTGTTAGGGTCATTGTTGTTGTTGCCCTAGGGACCCAGCACTACCTGATGCCCTCAACAAGTTCTTTGAAGACCTGAACAGACCACCCAGCCCCAGACTCACCTCACCACCAGAGGAAAAGTTCCTCAGCGTGACCTCAGCAGAAGTAAGGAGGACCTTCAGGAGGATTAATCCTCACTAAGCAACCGGCCCAGACAACAAGGTGCTGAAAGACTGTGCTGATCAGCTCTACGAGGTGCTGTCCAACATCTTTAACTCCTCTCTCACCCTGGCAACAGTTCCCACCTGCCTGAAGACTGTCACCATCATCCCAGTCCCAAAGAGCTCTACAGTGACTGGTCTGAATGACTATCGGCCAGTGGCCCTCACCCCGATAGTCGCTAAATGCTTCGAAAAACTGGTCATGACCCACATTAGTACAACCATCAACATCAACGAGGACCCTCATCAGTACGCGGATTGTTTAAATTCAGCCATGTTTATTTAAAATACATTTTAAAGTTTGTGTAAGTTCTTCTTTCTGATCTGGACTTGACCCGGTTCTGGTTGGACTATATTTGTATCAGCTCCACCACATCTTTCCAGACAGTGAAGCTTCTGAACTATTTTTACTTTGATAATTCATATCTTATCAACACGGATTGTTTGTTTGTTCTTATTGTTGTTGTTGTTGTTAACACATATTGTTTGTT